CTACTTCTGCATCTTCACTGTTTCCGGCATCATTGTGAGAGGAACGTGATCTTGAGTGTCTTCTCCTAGCTGATCTTGGTTTTGGTATGTGGTTGCTAGATGCATCATCCCGATGAGCGTGATCCTTCTCAAGATCATGATTATTAACCTTTGCAGCAGCACGCCTCTCACCCTCATCATCAGATCCTTGTTGTGCTCTTCCCAGTATATTATCAACAAAGGCTATGTTATACGCTACAGGATCCTTAGTGATGCCATCATTACCAGAACTACGATGTGAAGAACCAGAAGTGGTTTCATGTTTTCTACCTTTTGCTTTGACATTAGGTTTCATATATGGAGGAGGGATGCCATAATTCTTCACTTTAGGTTTTTCTTCTTCTTTACTTGCTAATCTTGCATCATTGTGTTGGCCGCCATAATTGTCATCAGCAAATGAGCCTTTACCATTGCTTTTCACATGCGATCCAGCAACATTTGGCTTTACATGAGGTAAAGCTTCATGGCAGTCTCTTTTAGGAACATTGTTCTCCCTACCATGATGCCTTTCCTGTCCTTTTGCCTGAGATGAACTGCCCAATCCAACTGACCTTGGGGGAGCATCCTCCTTTCCATTCCATGCTTCATATTTGTGAGAAACAACTTCTTGCCTTTCCTGGAACTTAATTCCATGCCCATTCTTTTCCACAACCGTATCTTCCCTGCCACTGAGAGACTTGTATTCTTTTCCACCGAGTCTATGCCTAGTCTGATGATTGTGCTCATCCGTCTTCAACACAGTACCGTCCTTGTCATTGTGTAATTTGTGGGCATCAAGCCTCCTTTCTATAGGCAAAATATTATGCTTATCTCCTTTTGGGACTGCAGATGCCCCATTAGACAATTTGCCTTTATTATCAGGAACATGGGAAGATCCGTAAGTTTTTGGCTTTTCCTGCAAGGTCCCAATTTTCAAGTGACTTCAAATTTTGAGAAAGCAATGCTTTTGGCTAAGGATTTTTTATTCTATCTATTACAGGTGTTAACACAGTAGGTGGACATACCTGTATAAATGCAGGAGGTTTAGACATCCTCTGTTCAAAGGCCTTGGAGTCCCACTTTATTGAGAATTCCAATGCTATGTCTTTCATTAACTGAACCTTCTTCTCCAATGTAGGAGGCTTTGAAGCTAAGTTCTCAACAAACTATGAATAAAAATTCAGTTGGTTAGTTTTAAAGCAGTTACGGATTCACACAGTTCTATTATGAGCGGGTCAATAAACAGTTACCTTTTGATTCACAAAATACTCCAGAGAATTCTCGTATCTCTCTTGAAATAGTTGCCTAAGGTCACGCAATTCTGGTAAATCAGAAAACCTTGCTGCAGCAGACATCAGTGATGATACAGGTTCCCGACATTCCTCAGGGCATTCGCTACAATGAAAATAATGCAGCAAGGAAACATTGTATTGAGTTTGATTTTATTGTTCTTAAACTAATGCAATTAAGGAAGGTTCAAGAAAGGTAATATCATTCCTTTTAGCAGGAATCCAAACCATTTGTTTGGATAACTTTGTAATGTATAATATTAGAGGAACTACGTTAGATTAACAGACATAATGGAGAAAGGACATAGAATCAGCTAACAACTTCAATCATTCATGATGTGGTCAAAGGCAGAACCCTATACAAGTTGAATTCGGTGAGAGTTTGCAATCAAATGACAGTAGTCCACACATGGATAGCGTTGTAACAGATTTTTACTCAAATCAAAATCTTCCCAACAGATATTCCCCAGCTAGAAGGATGCCAACAAAATCTACACCCATTTTTGCGGCTTCTAACACCATCAGCCATAAATTGTACACATTTGCATATCATATAATATGATAATTCACGAAGTTGAACATAACATGTATAGAAGAAGGTTATATAGCATAAGACTTCCAAATCCAAAGATGAAAGCAAGAGAAGATACACAATGCTGCATCAGTAGGATTTGGCAAATTAAGTAAACTGGTGAGACTGATATCAAAAAGAGCATCATGCAGTTGCATATGCTAAATAGACTAAGAAAATCAAATGCTTGATATTGGCAGCAAACAATCTGTAGATGAGCACAAGAAGAAAAGAACAAGGTATACCTTTGTTTCTGCATGACTGAAAGATGATTCAGCACCAAATCACAGCATCGCTCCACGAAATCATAACACGACGAAAGTATCACCTCAGCTGTGAGTCCATCAGCCTGTATTTAACAAATATAACACTCTTCATTTAGGTGGACAAGATAGACAAAAACAAAACTAGTCCATCAGCCTGTATATCCAATTAATAAATAAACCTTGTGCATTTGATTTAATCAATAGATTATAATCCCCTCAAATAGCAAATGTCGCAAAAACAAAAAAAAAAAAAAAAAAGAGGAATATTGTTTTTTCTCGGCGACCAAACAGATTATAGAAAATACGAAATTGCAACAAAAATCACTCAACAACAAGAAAGCATCAATGAATCAAAAGCCAAAATACAAATTGTAAAGACAGAGCAATCAATCTCACCCTTCCAAAAGCATTAATATCAAGGCCATTGGCGAGTAGATCAGCGATATCTTTCCTCAAAAACTTCTGCGTGGCGTTCCTTTTCCTCCGTATCACATCGATCCGAGTTTTCGTCAATTTAATCAACGATTTACTACCAAAACAAAAGACATGCAGAAAATATGAAACATATCATAAGCACACTAATATTTCAATTTATGTAGATACATAGAGATGCAGATGAAATTGTACAAAGAGAGGGAGGGATCTGAGGGAAAACCATTTAGCGGCAAATCCACGGCCGAGCAGCCCGTCCAACATTTTTCAATCTCTTTCTTCAACTCGGTGAACACTGAGCAACTCAGACTGAAAGAGCGGGCATTAGCGAAGCAGGAGCTTGAACAATAAGAAGAAGAAGAAGAAGGAGGAAGATGAAGAAGAAGAACGTCTCTTTCTCTCTTTGTGAAATTGTGAAGCCGCTTCCTTCAGTGGGTCTCGGGACATTTTTCAAACTCACTTTGGCCACTAAACTGATGGGACAGAGAAAACTTTTCTGACCATAAGGTCCTTGCTCTTTGCCCTTTACGTAACGACGTTGACGCGGGTAACAACCGGTCATTTTAACGTTAGGGAGGGTATTTTGGGGAGATAGCGATGTTTTGGTGAGTGCGGCGGATGAGTCGGTCGCTAAGAGTATGGTGGGGAGATCGTGACCGTTGGATTTGAATACTTTTGAGGTCTCGTTGTGGAGAGGTGGGGGGTGAGAAGTCGTCAAGTCAAGGTGGGTAAAGACGAGTGTCATAGGAGTTGATAAAATCTGCTGAGCTGGACCCAGAGAGGGTGGTGACCCTCAAGTGCTTAGGTTTCGGTCATATTATTATTTTTAATTATTATTAGTGTATTTGTTTATTTATTTTATTTTATATTGCTTTCAAGGGACAACAATGAAAACCGAGTGAAATCATGGTTTTTGGTCTGACAGAAACAAAAATTGATAGGGGCCCAGAGCCGTTGATAACGGCCATACCAACCGTATTGATCAGAATTTTGTCCCAAAAAAGAAAAGAAAATTGTTCATTATTAGTGAGTGATCTGTTTTTTTATCCTAAATTCCTACAATTTCCAAACGTCTCTCTTCCATTTTCCTCCTTTGAAGAATCATTTTCATTATTGTGCTGTTATAGGTTGGATCATCTAATAATGAATGGATCTTATTCTTTAGGGTGTAGTGTACCTCTGTTAACGAATTTTCAGTATACACGTGTCATAATAATAATCGTATCTTAAATTCTCATTTAAAGATTATATCTTAAAAAATCCGGTATCCGTTTGAGAATTTTTTTAAAAAAATGATGTATCCAATATTGAAATGGTTGTTGCAACTTGGAAGATTATAATTTTTTTTTTCTTTGTTTTGTTTTGGAAGTATGCAAGATTATAATTAACCAACTTTATTCTAAGCAAGAGTCCAGCTATCTACCAATGTTTTTATTTTATTTTTAATATGTGACAAACAAATCCATCTGCAAAGTCAGAAAGTAAAAGAGCAGTGTCACACATTCCATTTCCACATCTGCTGCCTAACCTTTTGAGTTCAGATAAGCATGCAATTTGCAATTGGATCAAGAAAATAAAATGTTCTTTTACACTTTTTTTTTTGTCGTCAGTTTTGGGTATAAATTAAGAGCAACCCACATGGTACTTCCATTAACAAATGGAAAGAAAGAAAAAAGGGACAAAACTATCATATACATCTTTGTTTTCCTCATCACCCATCTAAGTCTACCTACCTTCATCTAACTTTCCTGCAGCAGCAGACCATTTCTAATTTAATTGAGGATTAGCATCACCAAATTTAAGATTTTTCCTTTCCGATGAATGAGATTTCAACGTCTGTTCGTGTCATGATTCTTTCCTAAATGATGAGGTCAAATTACAAAATTGCCATTTCCCAACTTGGGCCTTAGGCCCAAAAGCTAACAACAGATGAACCTGGGTCCGCCCACTTTAGCCCAGTCATCATTTTTACACCTGGCTGAAGTCGAAGTTGGCAGGCCCATTAGATAGATTTGTGACTAGTCTACCCAAAAGCTTGTCTCTTGCATTCAGTTGATTTACCCTCTTTGAAAGGGCCGGTTGACCTTTGACCCACCTGACCTTTTTGGTGCCCTACTTCTTTCTTTCTTTTTTGGTCGAAAAAGCCCTATGTCCATTTTAACAGCAGTGGCAATTCAACACGGACTTTGGTTATTTTGTTTAGTTTATGCTACTAGTGCCACAAAGCTACTACAAAAATTTGGGATTGTATAATGTTAAGTTTGTGTTAGTTAATGTAGATGTGGATTAAGTAAGTTCAAATCTCCTCTCTAAGACTATCGCTTATATATAAAAAGAAAAATGGTGTTACTGACTAGTTCATAAGATGTCGAATGTGACAAGTTCTCTCCAAATCATATCCCAACAACACACAACCCAAAAAAAAAACTGTGAAATATATCTCATTATGATCACAAATCACAGATTTTACAATTCAAACCCTCACCAGTGACCAACAGCCACCAAGAAATAATAATGGGTTTACAAAAATGCACAAGAAAGAAAGCCGGCTCTGTTATGGAAAACACTGAGTCTATTGTTGTATATATGGTTGATGGTTCCTACCTACCAAAAACATCTCAAGAAGTTGATGAGGAAATGGAACAAATAGTTTTCTCGATCGAGCAATTCATGTCGAACTAATCTTTCCAAGATGATATTCTGAGGCAGAAGCTCACTGTAGTAAAGCAAGGTTGAGACTGAGGCAGCTGGAGCTCCAATTAGAGATGTTAGTAGCCTCATCAGTGACCTAAACATCAATGGTGTAAGAGACTGCATCACAAAGCAAACAAACACACAGAAAAGAAAGGAAAAAAGTTACAAATAGAAGTCAATTTGAGAGCCCAAAGGAGTTTGCTTGATGATCAAATATACATACCATGGTTTTGGTGAGTAAGGCAAGAAGAGCAACAAGAACTTGAAGTTTTTAAAATGAAATTCTGAGATGAAACAGAGGTGAGGTAAAGAGATTGGGGTTGGGGTGACTGGTGATTTCGTGAGGATCTCTAGCTGCCAATCTCCAGCAAACATTCAAACCTACCCGTCCATATTCTGAAACTTTAACAAGAAAATATTGGCCAATAGGCTCATTCAATTATGGTCACGCGCTATTGGCCAAAAACCATACTTTCTCTTTGTGTTTTTTTCAATCAAACAAAACCCAACTTTTCTTTTTCTGTTCATCTTTTTATAAAAAATCATCAGAGAAATGAGATTTCAACCAACTTCGAGCAGTTTTGTTTTCTTGAACTCAGTTAATTAATGTGATACAGAAACTTGTGCAACTTTGAAATCAATGGGAAATGTTATTTTTCATCCCCATCTAATAATCTAAAATCCGAATGGGACCAACAACATCAAAGAACTTTCCAAAAAAATTCTGACTGTGACCTGACGGCAAGAATACGAGAAGGATTCTGTCATTGACAGTTTGGCGGCTTAGAAAATACCTTTACGTTGCGGTCTATAGGTGTAATATACAAGTATGTTTGCCAGTTCAATGTAATATAAATCGGTTGTATACACAATAATTGACAATATGAGTGATTACAAGGACGAGATTAGATATTTTATACAAATGATATTGGGAGAACGAAAATTCGACATATTGGAAATATATTGTTGAACATTCGAGTCTAAAACATCTATAAACGGGGAAATTCCTACCCGAAACTCCTCTTGGCAACATATTTTTCCCACCACTCTTGGAGCACCTCCAGCGCCCAACCCAAACTGGGTGAAGGGCTGCCAAAGAGAGCCCGAGGCAGCTCCAGCGCAGGGCCCGTAGCCCGGTTTCGAGGTGGGTCCCACCAGCCCGACGAAGCCCCAGGGCAGGTCTTGCCCGGGCTGAAGCCCGAGTTGGGTGACGTCAGTGCTGGCGTCACGCTGACGCCAGCGCACGGTAACAATCAATTTTTTTTACCGTTGGAGCGTGAATTACACGCGCCAACGGTAAAAAAATTTGACTTCAGCGCTGGCGTCACCCACCTGACAGACAGCTCCAACGGGTGTTTGCCACGTGGCGCGACGAGGACTCTCCGATGACTTTTTTCCAAAAATCCGACGGTCCTCGTTTTTTTGGCTAAAAAAATTGAAAAAAAAATCGAAAAAATTCTGAATTTTTTTTAAAAAAATACCCAAAAATTCGGTATTTTTTCTCTATAAATACCTAACCATTTTATTTACTTTCCACACTAAATCTTCATACAATTTCTTCTCCATCCAATATTTTTTACTCTTTACTCACATTTCTAAAACATTCCACACCAATTCTTCATACAAACTTTTCTCCTTCCAATATTTTTTT